GCCATGGCGGCGAGGCTGGCTCAGCGGGCAAGAGCTCGGGCCGGCACCGGGCGCAGGGCAGCGAGCGGCCCGAGCTGGGCCGGAGCATGAGTCTGGCGCTGGGGGCTGTGACCGAAGAGGAGGCGGCCCGCCTACGGGCGGGGGCCCTGATAGCACGACCAAACTCGCCTCAGTCTTCCGGGACTGGGCGGTGGCGCTCACATGAGGTTCTGGAGGGAGCGCCCACAACCTTAGTGCAAGCCCCCATCGGCCTCAGCCCCCACCCGGAAGGCGGCCCCGGCTCTGGTCGCCTGGGTTTGCGCCGACGCTCCACAGCCCCAGACATCCCTAGCCTGGTCGGGGAGGCGCCAGGGCCCGAGAGTGGCCCGGAGTTAGAGGCCAACGCTCTGCCCCTCTCAGTGCCTGGGCCTGAGCCTTGGCAGGCGGGCACGGAGGCTGTGGTGCTGCACGCTCAGCGGTAAACAGCGCCGAGCCCCGAGCCCTATTCCCCTCCACTTTCCCGCCTCTGCTCCACTGGCATTTCTCCCTTTCTTCCAGGTCCCTCACTTTCTCGCAGTTGGTCCTCTCCCCCCACCGCCGCCATCTCGAAACTTGTCCTCGCTGCCAAAGCGGGATCTCCACCAGCTCTCCACCAGAAATAAGAAAGGGACCCCCATCTTACTTTTTCTGTGCTCGTTGGTATTCCCCGGTAGGTCTTTCAGCTTCACTACGGCCTGCCTCTCCTGTCCCTGGTAGGCGAGGTGTTCCATAGGCTACAGCCTTTCAGCCAGGAAGGTGAACCCCCCTCCCCCAACCCTAAGGCTCAGTCCTGGGTCTGCCTAGTTTCCTGCCGGCTCCTACCGGCTCTCCATCCTCTTGCTGGGTTTCCCAACACCCTGCCAGCCAGACAAGCGGAAGAGTAGACTTTGGAGAGAACAAAGGCTCAACCTCTCCCCTCTGCCTGGTGATGCTGACAATAATGCCACAAACTACCAAAGTCCGCCTTTCTCTTATGTTGGAGAAGGGGAGGACCGAGAGGAGCCCCAGAGCCTTTCTGCACAGGAGGGCTGATTAGGAAGGAACCTGGCCGTTAAGTTTTTCTGGAGTAGAAACTCCTGCCGCAAGACAATGAAGACATATTTTGGGGGTGGCAGAGTACCTGGTGTTGAACACCAGTTGTCCCTTCAACAACCTTATGGACAACTCCAGCTCCCTCTGCCTCTACCCCAGGCAGACCAGGATTCAACTTTACTGACGATGTGGGGGGCATTGCTCCAGCAACCCCTACGCAGCCCAACTCCAGGCTCCTGAGCCAGCCTGCTCCTCAGCTCAGATGCACTTGAATTGCATCTTTGAGGTTCAACGCCTTATCCCTGTGGCCCAGCCTTATTTCCACTCTCAGAGGCCTGAAATGGAAAGGATTTAGCACTTTCCCGCCCCCACCGCCTCCCAGCTCCCCCGTCCCGCACGTGGGTGCTCCTGCAGGGTGGAACGGTTGCGAAAGCTTTGCTTAATTGTATTTCTTCCAATCCTCAAAGAACTCGTGTTTTGAGCCTTTGTATGTGAAGCAGAAACCAGCGGGTTTGATCCGAGGCTTAACAACCTGACAATATCTCTTTAAATAGAAGCTCCACGAGGGGGATAATTGACTGAAGTGTTTGAGACGTTAAACGGCGGCGCGCAGGAGTTGGGAGCCCACACGAGCCGCAGGTCCGGGTTTAAATTACATCAAACTCCGGCGAGAGCTGGAAGGGGCCTGTTAAACGGCTCCCGCTTCTCGCTGGGCTGTTAATGGAGGGCAGGGCGGATGATGGATGCTACAGGTCGAGACCAAGGACCCCTGCCTCTGCCCCACCGCGTGGGACGCAGGCCCAGCCCAACTTTATTACTGGGCAGATTAGTGAGTCAGAGGTAACCGCCGAGAGGTGATTAAAGGCCCTTTGTCCCCTCTTTCCCCGCCCCCGCCCCCTACTCTATACCGGCCTGGAGGGAGGGGGCAGGGGGTCTGACGGATCGCGTGCACTAGGGCTCCGCGGTAGCGCTAGCCCGTGTGTCTGCGCTTAGCCCGCGGCGTGGCGGCAGGTGGGGCTCTTTTTGTGAACCCCGAGGGTTGAGCGTGCAGCCCCTCACCTGCCTGCCATGGGGTCTTTTCAAGACGTCGATCTATTCGTCTTTGCAGAACGGAAGGTTTCTCACCATTAACCCCGCAGGAACTGCCCAGGGCGAGAATTGGAGGTCAGGAGCGGGCCTTGTGCAGGTGTCAGACACCTCCCCAATCCACGCGCGCGCGCACACACGCGCACACACTCCCCAGTTCTTACACACGCACTCCCCGCGCCTTGAACGTGATCTCTGGGGCCCCCTGGTGGCAGCGCGGCGCTGTCCTCGCTGCGCCCTGGCTCCGAGCTCAGACTTCTGGTTTTATTTGGAATCACCACTTTGTACTTCTCCCACCGTGTGCATTTACCCATGAAATTCTCTTGTTGTTGTAGAATATTAAATCCGGATACTTGAAGTCACTTCACAGTAGTGAAGTGAGGGACAATGCACAAAGAAACGCGCATCGGGAATAGCAGGAGCCCAGACCCTTCACTAAAGACCCCAAGTTAAATCTCCCAAGTTAAGGCTCCCTGTCCTTAACGCTTCCGAAAAACTGGAGCTGCCAACCCTTCTCTTGATTTCTGAACCTTGGGACCTACTGATTATACACTGTTTTCTTCTGAAGATACTTGCTTTTATGTATGAGGTGTTCTGCTCTTCCCCCACCCTCTTCTCCCCAAACATTTGCCTCTTCTGGTCCCCCCCCTCCCCCCCCCCCC